TATGTATGTGTATGTAAATTAAAGGAGAATAACAAAATTCGTTTATATTGAATGAAAAAAAGTTTCGCTTCTACTTAAAATATACTAAGTGGCTAGTTTTAGTTATATGTGTTTTAATACGAATGATTATTATTGCATACGTTTATGAATTCGAAATTAAGCCTAAATATGTAAGGTTTTTAAACCGAATGTCACACATTAGACATTTTGTGAAAACATGAGGATTCATTATTCTATCAAACGGGATGATGGCATGCTCAATCAGTCTATCGTCGCCAAAGCTGACCACCACCAACAAATTGCGGGTAGTAGCACATTCCATAAGAAAGCCCACCGCCCGGCGTGATTCCGAATACCGCTGATACCGCCGGTTAAATCTGGATTTATTGTATCGTTTCGTTCAGAGATGAGGGGTGCCGTCCAAGTTTGTTCCTCATCGACTTCGTTGACTCGCCGCTGACAATTCATCCACTTGCGTGCACTGAGTTTTGGACGTGGATGCGCTACCTCCATTACATCATCGTTGAATTCCCAGTAACCGTAGCCTTTGAAAAAGTATGTCTTACGATTGCTATACTGGAATGCAGCGTCTATGTTGTAACCTACTCCGCGCCATATCGACATATCTCGCGGGTAGTCCAGTTCAACTCTACCGGTTTCGTCATCTAATCGCCAATATAAGGTGCCACTTGTAAAGTAGGTGCGGTTGTTATGGCCCCAAACGAATGCGGCATCTATGTGGGTCAATGACGGCGGCAGACCTAAAGAAGTGAGAGGTTGCGGGTAGCCCCGTACTAGCGTCACTGAATCGAAGACATAGTAATAGCGGCCTGAGATAAGCAAAGTCGGTTATAAATAAATATAGACAAACCAGAAAATGTGAAACTTACCTATAAAGAATACAATTTTTCGATCTTGATTCTCATACACGGCGTCAATTTTGGTGTAGTTTTCGGGCAATTGGGTCCACAAGCGACGAGTTTCGGTTGGAAAGCCTTCATAAAGACCACGATCTCCAATGCGCCAAAGAAACTGGATGTAGATTAGAAATGTGAATAAGTGATAAGAATGCTACGTATGTTTTAACATGCATACATATATCGTGTATTCCTTGTCAACCAGGTCCCCTAAATACATATTTTGAAAACGGATATTTTTTCAGCAAACTTTGCATAGATTGGCCCAAATTACACGAGGGGTTAAA